AGTGTTGCCAGGATAAGGTATCCAGCCTTATCCATATACTATAGACTCTTTAGGTTATTCACGGGACATTATCCATTCATATATCAGGGGTATATCAAATATATACCCCGTATATCAACTATATACCCAGTATATATACTGTCCCGATTACATTCAAATAACCTTGGATGATTAGTTTATTGGATTTGGATGTCCTGATTACAAATTTATTGAATAAAACTTTATTGAATATACATTTGTTTTTAGATAATACAAACTACTAGTTTAGGGCAACACACCCAACAATATTTTAGCTAGTGGATGTTATGGCCACCATGTAATTGGGAGTTACAACCTTTCAAATGCTTTTAGGTTACTTTTAGGGTTGTTTGCTATAAATAGCCTAGCTTGTTTCCTTTGAAATACAGATTTTATGATTGAATGAAAGTTGTTATTTTGCTTCAAAAGCCTAAAGCTTGTTTTTCTTTGCAATTCTTGAGTGTTAGATTCGCATGCTAGAGTCATTCAAGTAGCCTTGATCAAGCTATCTTGTAGAGTGGTTAGAATCTTGAGTTTAGAAACAAGTTTTCTCTACTCTTAGTCTTGATCATCAAGGTAAATTCGTTTTAACTTCTTCCTTGGGTTGAAATCATCTTGATTTGGGGGTTTTAGCATTTGTGATCTAAGGGTTTGCATAACCATAAGGGTTCTTAAATCCAATTGGCTTTTGTTTTCTTATCACTCTTGATCTTTGCTTTACCCGTTGTGAGCTAGCGGGGGACCTAATAGACCTACACATTAGAAGCTCCAATGATACAAGATTAAGTGATTTAATTCTTTGACCAAATAACAAAAGACCCACAACACTCTTCACATTGCTTCCATGGATATTGACCATTAACCTTCACGAGTGTTCGTAACCACAACGGGGTCAAATTACCGTTTTACCCCCGTGTTATATCCTGTACCTTAAGTATCGCTGATTCTCTAATGAGCAACCCGATTATGATTTGACCAATAACTAGAAGTCCCTCTCGGGCAACTGAGAGGATGGGGCTCATTGTTCAAGTCCCAGAATCAGAACTAAAGAGAACACTCATCTACTCCTCTAAAGTCGAGGAGGAGTGAATTTCATCTTATGAAGCTGTGTTCCCAGTTCCTCACTCAGTCTCGTCTCCAAAATGGTAGGAATGTTGAGTCGGCGACTTAGACCACTCTCACCCATACAAATCAAAGGACGAGCTCTAACAGTCTTAGTCCATAACACACTAAGGATTGAGATGAAGTTATCTGGGTCATTCTATTGAAATATTAATATATTATCTAACGGTGTTACAACTAAAGATTAATTATTTCGCGGTATGATCTTATACAAACTCATTGTAAAGGATACTTCCACTCGCATTTCTCCACACGAACGGTCTAGATCAAGTCAATTTTGACTATTACAAAGTGGGCCATATCCATTGTGTTACCCAATGTTTTAAACATCGACTCATGGGGGGAAATCGTTTTTCCACCCATATCGACGATATTTACGAATATCGTAAAAAAAAAAACTTTAAACTAAAAGAGCTGGACCCATAGAAAAAGGCCCGCCTATGGATTAAACGAAAGTAGGAAATGGGGAGGGGTTTTATAGGCACGCTCCCCTCCCCCCCTCCGTCCCTTTCCGATGTGGGATTGGGATTGGAGGGGATTCCTTTTGCCCTTTTCTTTCTTCTTTTTTTCCCTTTTTTTTTCCTTTTTTTAAGTCTAATATTAATACTACAGATCTCCTTTTGCATTTTCTTTTCTTTTCTTTTATATTTCTAATTCTAATATTAATATTAATATTATTTCAATTTATTTATTTATTTCAATTTTCACCATTAACCTATTTTTATTCCAATTGAATTTCTTTTTTCAATTCTTTTACCAAATTTAATTACTAAATTTTCAAATTCATAATTCTATTCAATATAATAATCATATGTACATGTGTATATATCAATATTTCATATCTTGTTCTGTAATAAAACACTAGATTTGGTTATAAATTATTAATTATCAATAAAACACAAATAAGCAATATTGAACTTCAATTTACTAATTCAAATTATTTTCATCAATCTTCATTATCTTCTTTCAACATTTCTATCGAGATCGACATTTTCATAAGTAAGTTACTCATATTTTTACATATGATGGTTAAAAGTGATCAATTGTAGCTTAATTAAGCTACCATTAAAGTATTATTTACTAATTAAAATAATTTTTATTATTTTTCACAACTTCCGTGATTTTACCCCAAATATCCGTCGACATCGTAAAATCGGGACCTCGACATTTCTATCGACATCGGCATTTCGAGCCTACCAGGATAAGGTACCCAACCTTACCCATATACTATAGACCCTTTAGGTTATTTCTGGAACATTATCCACCTGTATATCGAATATATACTATATATGTACACTATATATCAAATATATATGTTGTATATTAAATATATACGATATATCTGTTATATATTATTCCAGTTACATGACATAACCTCAGATGTTAATTACATTTGAGTTAATGCAATTTTAAAAGGAACATCAATAACAATTTTATTGAATAAATATTTGTTTTATATTTACAAACTACGAGTTTAGGGCACAAAACCCAACAGCTACGTTACTTATTACCCACTACGATGACTGGTTTCCTGTTTCTGTATTGCTTTCAACATAGACGATGACATCGTCTACAACTGTATTTGACTCTCTGCTATATACTTTTTAAGATCATCCTTTAATATTCTACAGTTTTTCTTGATATGGCCCTTTTTGTGACAGTAAAAAATGTTCACCATCTCTCTTCCAATCCCTCCTATTGTTTGTCATCAAACACAACATTCTCATTAACTTTTAATTGGACAGCCAATGCTGAGTCCTATCTCGAAGTAGATTATTTTCCACTCCCCTTTATGGGAATTTCTTCAGCAATTGCTGCATCACAAATTTTTTAAAATTTCAAAGATTTGTCTCATAATGAATTGGACACTACTGTCTTCATCGTTTCCTAACTTTTAGGTAAATATGTTAGCAACAAAATAACATTCACTTTGTCACTAAAAGTAATCTTAACTAATGTCAATTGATTGGTTAAATTTGTCAGCTCATTTATGTGGGAATTAATATAAGTACTCTATTTCATGAGAATGTTGAAAAATCTCCTTACGAGATCACTAGTAGAAATTTGGGTTTTCGTGACGTTTTTTACGTTGTCACCTATGCCCTCATCAAAAAATGTATTTGTGACGTTTATAAACGTCACGAAAAGTGAAATTCATGATGGTTAAAAAACGTCATGAAAAGTGAAGGTTTTTGTGATGGTTATAAAACGTCATGAAAAAGGGTTTTGTGACGGTTAAAAACTATCACGAAAAATGGATTCCATGAAGTTTTCAACAAGAATTCGTAGCAGAATTAGATTTCGTGATGGTTAAAAAATGACATGAAAACAAATTTCGTGGCTAAAATACGTCACAGAAGATGGATTTCATAACGTTTTAAAAACGTCATGAAAAATGGATTTCATGACATTTTTTAAACATTATGAAAAATAGATTTCGTGATTTTTAAACGTCACGATAAATGCATTTCGTGACTGTTAGGAAACGTCATAGAAAATATATTTGATGATTCTAAAAAAATAAATATATTTGATGATTCTAAAAAAATAAATATATTTGATGATTCTAAAAAAATGTCACATAAGACGAATTTAATGACATCTAAAAACTGTCACGAAATAATTAAAATATATATATATTTTGTTATTCATCAACGTCGCGAAAACACAATTATATAACAAAGTTGAGCATTCATATATACATATACGAACAAAATATGATGCAATTTGCTATTACCATATTCTTTACACATACTACAAGTACAATTACAAAATGAAACATATGTTTCATACACTATCCCAACGAAGAAGTTCATTCATCATTTAGTTGCATTCATAGTTATTGACTTCTTTGAGTTTGTGAAGACCTAACCAATAAAACAATACCCAGTTAATTAAATGAATAACCAAGAAATAGATAAGATAAAAAAGTCACTGCTAAAAGAACAAATTATATCTTTTAAGGGGTCATAACTAGATATTCCACATACCCTATTAAAAGAACTACCTAATCTTCAAATTTATCCATTGTTTGAGCAACTTTGCTTCACGAAACCAGAACATAAATTCACAAAATTGTAAGAAATTCAAATTCCCTCATGAAAAAAATAAATAAAAAATTAATATTTTCAAATAAGCATAGCACAATGTCCACTACAAGAAAGAAGGGATACGATAGCTCACGGAAAAGTCCATGACTTTTCATAGCGTTTTTTAAGAGCTATAATGAACGCTATAATAAATGAAGAAATTATGGCATATTTATGTTGCTATGTTAACCTTTTATAGCGTTTTTATTTGATGCTATTAGATGTATCGATAGAACGATTATTTGTGCTATTGTAAACCTATAATAGCAAATATTTTGAGCTATCTTAAACTTATAATAGCTAAATGTTTGTGCTATTGTAAACCTATAATAGCTAATATTTGAAGCTATCTTAAACCTATAATAGCTAAATATTTGTGCTATTGTAAACCTATAATAACTATTTTTTCGTGCTATAATATGGTATATACAACTAATAAATTATACTGACATAAATATGTAATAGCACTTTTTCCACGCTATAAAATAGTCATTATTTGCTATCTTAAATTAGTAATAGCTTTTCATTTAAGTTATTATACCGTACAAAAAGCTTTTATATTACATTATTAGAAATATCTATAGTTTTTCCTAATTTTTGCCAATTATTTATATAAGGTTTAGTTTTTGCTATGTAAACTTTGTCTAGTTTGATAAAATTGACTACGGAACTTTTTTGTAGTTGACTAACCATACAAACATATTAATGATATATTAAATCCCACATATTCCTTTTATGAATAAGTTTACACAATTCATTACATCACAAAAATAAAGTGTTTAATAGTTTATGGAATAAAAAAGTTACACATATCTACCAAAAGTAACTTCTAACAAAATGAGTAAAATTCATCAATTTTTGTAAATAAAGCAACGTAGAGTACAAAATGAGTTGTCATTTTTGATCCATTTGCTCGATGTGGTTTCTCATTCACCTACAAACATATTAAAAAAATTGAAAATAATTATGTGAATTGAATACCGAGTCAAACTAAATACCAATATTCCTTAGTAAATGCACATAACTAGATCTAGAAAATGTTCATACCAGTAACCACTTTATCACTTGGCCATGCCACTATACTACCAACGACTTTTTCAATTAGGTCTCCACAAATAAGCATCATCTTTCTTTGATACATCAACCCAAACTCTAACGGCATGTGGTCCGATAGGAACATGATGAACAAGAGCAGATGGATCATCAGAAGACCAACGATTTTCTGCAACTATCTCTCCTGAGCCATACCAATCTAATAACTTGCACTTACCTTGAGTATTATTATTAATACTCTTTAAAGAAAAAGACAATGTAAGATAAAAGAACACGATGGTAATAAAATTAATACAATAAATTATAGTCATCATATAACAATAATAAATTTACCCGATGGAGACGTTGTGAGGGTCGATTGACTACTTGTCGGCACACTGGTATTTGAAACTCCTTCACTTGGTACAGACTATAAGAATTGGATATAGAACATAAATATTAAACAAACCAAGAGCATAAATATCATAAATTTAAGATAACTTAATTATAAAAAATACCTCATTCATTACAAAACTTGACATCATAGATTTCATTTCCATCATATCATTTTGCATCTTCAAGTACTTGTTTTCAACCGCTATGTACTTTTGATATTTTTGTGACAATATTGATAACTTTGAACGAGTTACACCAAATCCAAATGTCCTGACATAGCCACGATCAGGACCAAGAACTTTACTCAAAGCATCATCAGCTATGCTATTCGGAGAAGTTATTGTCTCAGCCTCAATTTGTTCAATAAGCTCCTAGCAATAAATAAAAAGAAACATAAACAAACATTAAAATAAAGGTACAATATGCCAGATCATTAACAACAAACAACGTTCTTATGTCCCCCCCAACTTCCACGAAACCTACAACAGGCAAAAGTAACATCTC